AATCACAGATGCTTACTGCTCAGTGCTAATTTAAAAGATTTAAAATTCAATGCACGGTAGTGCAATAAAATTGTTAAATTGACCAAAGTAATGTTGAGAAAATTAAGAGTTATTAACAACCAGATGATGTATTATTTTTTCTCTTCTCTATCATTGTTATGATACTAAATAAGTATGTTTATAATTATTTTCTTATACTTACTGTATAATTTTTGGAAAGGGTGGAAAATAGCCTTTGGCTAACCCTTTTTCTTTTATGTATAAATGTATTTTTATGCATAATAAACGATATTTTTTTTACCGTGCGCTGGTCAGGCCCTATCCCCCGAAGCCCCCGAAGCCCCGATACATTCGGGAGGGCGCGTCAACATTATCAACCAATGACCACTCCCCACACCGTGGGGTAAGTGATCATTGGGTCCGAAAAGCATGTGCCCTGAGCAAGCGCAGTGAGCCAAGAGTGCCTTAGTGCGGCAAGCCGGTATGATTTTAAGATTCGAGAGTAGAGAGGACACCATTCCGCCAAGGACTACAATAATCAGAACAACCATCTTGACAGAGTGATCGGGATAGAGTCTGCGGAGTTCGAAGAGAAAATCTCGATATTTTATCCGTTTCTCCTTATCTTTTCTGATAATATTCGTCCCGCCAGGAGCTGAAAACTCATTATTATTATTATTATTTGTATTGAATATTCCTATACATGGTGGATATGGTGGAAGACCAAGGACCTTGTTCCAAAGTAGAATAATTCCCATTATTATTTTTATAATCACCAAAATTTATTTTTGTTTGTGCATACCCTAACGGGCATAAGCATTCAGCCAATTTTTGGATAGCTAAGTAAGAAAATATATTGTAGTAGTAACTAATCCCTCGGCTTTCATTTCTTCGAAAGTTGGAAAATTTTGCTGGTGGGGTTGGGAAAATTTGGATTCCCTCCCCCCCCCTGGTTTTTCTTTTCGCAACGGCCCTGCTCTGGATATATAATGAAACTTGCTTTTTGAACCTAAAATTATTATCTAACACTAAGCCAAGATTTGTTGCCTCCGGTACTATATTTAGAGTTATCCCATTCAGAGAAATATTTACTTGAGATGAATACCTTTGGCATAAAAACTTGGGATCAAACATAAGAACCTGCGTTTTATTAGGATTGAGTTGCAGTTCGTGTTTCACAGAAAAATCATAAATGTTTTGATGTTCAGTATTGATGTCAGCAACATATTCATTCAGCAATTCTGGTTTAAGCAATACATATAAAGTTGGGTATCATCAGCCTAAGCCATGATACTTAGAGAGATCAATCTTAGTCAGTATATTTGAGGTATATAATCTGAAAAGCAAAGGCCCAAGTATAGATCCTTGCGAAATACCACGCATTAATCTCGCCTATTCAGGCAGTTCGCCTTCGAGTTTCACCATAATGTCTGTTTGTGAAGTATTCTTGCATCATCTTAACAGCTGTTTTTCAGAAGCCAATATAATTGAGCATGGATATAAGTATTTTTGAATTCAATGAGTCGAATGCTTTAAGATCAATAACGAAATTCTCCTGTATATGTTGCTGCCAACATGTCATCCGTTATTTTAAGCAAGGCTGTAGCACAGTTATGTAGAGGCCTAAAACCCGACTGAAAGATAGGCATTAAATTAAAGTTACTATAATACATTTCCTGATTTGTTTGTTCAAAATGCGTTCCAATAGCTTAGACATAGTGGGGAGAATACTTATGGGTCTGAAATATTTGTAGTCCAAAATGACAGCTGTTTGGGGGACAGGTATAACATACGCAATTTTCCATTGAGTTAGGAAAAAATTTTCAAGGCTACAGCTATTGACAATATGTAATAAAGCATTTTTTATTATCGGAACGATAACGACAACGATAACGACAAAAATGAGTACCACAATTAATTGTAGAGATACTCTTGAAACTACCTCATTACCATCTTTACATAATCTTGCAATGTACAAATTATAGTGAATCATTTCAAGTTTTTTTATCCACTGTTTCAGATTCAATGAACTTTATCCTCAAAGGCAAAATTTTTGTTTTTTTTTTAATTATCTAAAACGAAAGTAGGTACCTAATAATATGAAGAGAAAAGTTTTTTTGTTCTTTTGTTTGTTCCTTTGGTTGTTCACTCGTTCACTTATTCGTTTATTTATTTGTTTGATTGTTTGTTTGTTTGTTCGTTCTTTCGTTTATGTATTTGATCGTTTGTTAGCTTGTTAGTCTGCTTGAGCATTGGTTTTTTGTTTGTTTATGATAAATAAACTTAAAAACCTACATAACTGATTTCAAAATCTTGTTTACCTATAGTAAGCTGAAATATCAGCGAATAATATGGGCTGAATAATATGGGCTGTATAATAAAAAAATACGAAATTTGTTATAATGTAATCCAGACGTCAAGAATTTGCCTATATAATTAAATTATTTAGCGTGTGCACTGGGAATAGATGCTGGTAAAATACGTAACAAATAAAATTAAAAATGTCCTGAAGGTAAACCCACTAAAGTACCTACGCTCTCGAAACTTCAATGGATAGATATGTGAAAATCCACTTGACGGGTAATTCAAATCACTGGATATTTAGATCCAAAGTGGGCCAGAAAAGAGATATCCTTTTATATAAGGAAAGAGAATTTTATGATTGCTATAAAAATTTTAATAATGATTGCTGAACTGTTTTCTTGATGAGTATGAGAAAAAATGCTAAACGGGTTAATCAAATAAATTATTTTACCAAAAAAGAAGTTAATTTTTGTGGCAAACTACATTCTTTGGTAAATTTGGTAATGCAGTCTTAAAACCCTAACTCTTGTCCAAAATAAAAGAGTGCTTAACAAAAATTGAATCTCTAGATCAGTTACATCTCGTACTATCATGCAGAATAATGATCAAGTATAGCCAGTTATAAACCGTCTTTCAGAACAACAAAAAGCTTCCCTACCCTAAACTAGTTGTTAGAAAGACTTTATGGCGCCACAAAGTTCAGACAGGACGGCGACAAAAAGGGATACGACGACTTCGAAAAAATAAATAATTTATACTGAATCTCCTTGCCTTCGGAAAAGCCTGGCAGTTCCCAATGTAAAGAAATATTATTTCGCAACTGTTTCTATACAGTAAAAAACTGATAAATGAATCCCAACTCAAAGTCAATAGATAGATAGATAGATAGATAGATATACTTAATTGTCCAAGAATGAATTCTCATTGACAAAGTGTGATGAAAAATGTAAATATATATGTATATATTATTATATACACATTTACATGTTATTATAAATACAATTGTATCACAATTTAATTTACACATATCGAGTACACATATTAATGTGAAATAAAACAAGAACATATGTATAATAATAATAATGATAAAAACATGATCATTAATACATAAAATTGTTAAGCTTATCTTGGCAGAACACTGAGAATATTTACAATTTGTCATCATAATATTCCTGCAGGCTATAATGAGCTTTCATGAGCAGTATATTTTTGACCGACTCCCTGAAACGTCTCTGTTCTATTATATCCCTAACTACCTGTGGTAAATGGTTGAACATTTTTTCTCTTCCTACATGTTAGAGTGTTTTGTTAGAGTCAATCTGGGTATTGACAGATGGATATTATTACTACTGTTCTGTCTTGTGTTGTGGATTATATGTGTATCTCTTTATATTTTTTATATTGATAACTTTATATTTTTTATTCCACTTTGTGCATTTGACTTATCTTATTTGTATTACTATTGTACATCTAAAAGATTAATAAATTTATCTATCTATCTATCTATCTATCTATCTATTTGAAGACTGGCAATTGGTATACCTACTATTGGAGTACTTTTCTAATGGGTGGAATTGATGTACGAGAGAAATAGAAGAAAAGCACCCTAGTCTTACGTCGGGCAAACCCAGAGACTCTGAGATTTCCTTCTATATGTCTCATAAGTTTTCTGTCTATTATGAAAATATATTTTAATTTTGTGAATAGAGGTTTATTATCGTGATGAGGAACCTGTAAAAACATAACTACAACAATAAAGTAGTGGACATTCATTGTTCAAAAAATATATCTGTCGACAATCGTTTTGTAAAAATAATTTCTTATTTTGTTCAATATATTCATTTACAATCACTACCTAAAAGACAATCTCGACAGTTTTCATAGTAAACACTTCTATAGGGTGACAATACCATTGTCTATAAAAATGACAATACCATATATTGTCTATATATAAAGATACCATTGTAAATAGACAAGACATATAGGTACATTAGGTTAGTCTATATACAAAGTTAAAAGAATGTTAAAAATAATCTTACGGCTTTGTATCTTCACAATGAGATGTCGCCAATATAATAAGACTGTATTCATACTTGAAATTGAAAATATTTATTGACTGAAAATCTGAAAAGAACGATACCTTACCGGTTTCTTATTAATAATCCTTGATATTTGAAGATCGGTAAATCCCATTCTCACTAGATTTGGAAAACGTTTGAGTTTTGGTGTGTCGCCATCTAGTAAATATTATTAGAACTTATCAGTGTTCTGAAATGCATTTGAATTTCACAAACTCACATTCAAACATTACACATCATATAGCTGGTTTATATATCAAGCTTTCACTTTTCTCGTTTAAACAATAAAAGTAGTACCTAACTATCTCTCTCGAAATAGCAACAAGTTGCTATTTGAAGAATGATACCTAATTTTACACAAAAATAGAGTCGATAATACTTTTAACTATTTTTCACAACTCACTTGATTAGACTGCACAGTGCACAGGCATTTGGTTATCACTTTTTAGTGTTTACTCAAAGATTATTCAGATCTAAATTCAAAAACAACCTTGAATTTGGATTATCCACGTTGGCAGTATATTTTATCTATTTTCATATTACTTTGTAATTCCGTCCGAAAAATCCAGATGTTTTTTTCCGACAAACAGATAAAAGGTTATGACATAAGTCACCCTAGCTAATCAAGTACTTTAATTAATAAATTTCGTAAAATTTAAAATTATCTCTCACTGCGTCGAGTTCAAATTTCCCACCAAATTTTAGTTCAAACATCTGTCGTGCAGATGACTACTGACTAGAGAGTCGATTTCCTTTTCGTGTAGATGAAGTTAACGTAAGCGTGGCTAATCAAGGTACAAAAAGGTAAAAATACATCAAAAATATTATACATAGACGCTAAATGAGGATATTCCCGAATTTACTGGGGTTCAGGGCTTCTCGATTAGCTGTAATATTGCGAAAAAGTATTGAGGGGTTGTAGCAAATGTCAACGAAACTAATCTAAACATTGGCTTGTAACACCCATTTCTGAAGTAATTCCCCGTTTAATTGGTGGTTTTCCTTATTTGTAGAAAAATGAGCAGCTCAGAGGAGGTATCATGGATTTCGTGGTTCTGCGGTCTGAGAGGAAACGAGTTTTTTTGCGAGGTATGTAAAATTTGTCATAATAAATTATCTGAAATTCACATACCTCTGTTCAAGGTGGACGAAGATTATATCCAAGACAAATTCAATTTGACGGGGTTAAATGAACAAGTGCCGCACTACAGGCAAGCTCTGGATATGATTTTAGACTTAGAACCAGGTTAGTAAAGGTTTTACCTTGATTCAACACCTATAAAGTTATCTACCTGCAGTAAAATCAGTGAAATATTCTTTGAATTGTCCATTAAATGCAGAGAATTTATCATGAAAGAAGAATAATTGTTATGCTCCTACTTTTTCAAAGTCTTGGATTATGTGTCTCATTCTATACCTATTGACAAACTAAGTACAAAAGGTACAGTAAGTTCATTCATACTTTGGGAAAAGAAAATGTAGCTTCTGCTCTAAACAATACAACCTTTCAATTATCCATGATTATAATTAAACTGTAGTTAACAATGTAGCTTCATCTGTAGTAATAAATAGCACACACTGGCCTGCAAGACTTCTATACACAGTAAGTTACCTCACTTGATTGGTTAACAGTAGGTAAATTTTGAATATGATTAAAATTATTGTCATTATCACCATCATCAAACCTTTTTTCATAATGCCAATAACTTTATTCATATTTAAAATTTACCTACCATCCAAGAACTGAGAGTGTAATTGTTTTAGAAATTCTACCTGTTATCTCAAAATTCACCTGCTGTCCAAGAAGTGAGATTGCAATTTGTTTTAGGAATTCAACCTGATATCTTATTTACTATTAACCAATTAAGTAAGGTAACTTACTATTGTATATAAGAATTATAGGTCAGCCTTTACTATTTATTGCTGCCTTTTAATAGTTATTCTGTAAATACATTATATTTTCTATTCCATTTTTCATCTTCCGTATTGGGCAATTCAAATATTCCAGAATGTGAAATATTAGACAGAGCCATTCCCAATTTGAGGTTAAGATGTAAAATTACAATATAACTGTTGCTTAATGACATATGAAATTCCCACAGATGTTAAAATATCTGTTTAGTATAAAATGATTTAAACGATACAAACTTTTCAATTAATATCATTAAACTGGTATACGATAGTAATACGTCTCGAAATCCAAGGAAATAGCTGATGACTCAGGTTTTTGTAGCTATCTCTCTTTAATGTAACGAGTGCAAGCTATCATTCAAACATTAGCTCTTGCTGATTAAAATGCAAACGTTAACTGTTTTGTCTCCGTTTTTCACTTGTAGAAGAAAAGGATACTACATGAAAGCATGTTTTTCATCATAGACTTTGTTGATGGAGCATGTGTAAGCTTTGCATCCAACTGCATCAGTGTGTGGATCTAACTTTTAAAAGCTCAGAGTTGAAATAAATATACTATGGTCATGAATATATCATGGTTTTCCACAGGGTTTTCCATTATTATATTATTGATCGATAGAGTTTCCTTTGTTTGCTGATTACGTTACTCTGGTATGCTCAAGTGATTCCTTTACTAGTGACTTACTATTTATTAATTTAAATCTGTTTACCTTAATTTCCATGTGATGTTACTGAATCGTGAATAAATTGCATTATTATTATACGCTTGTCAGTTTGAGAAAAAAAAATTGATTTAAATTTGTGCTATTATCTACACCTTTCTGACAAATCTATTTATTTCAGAAGTTTCAGACCAACTATAGAGTCAATTATGAAAAAAAAACGTTACTTGAAAGCATTTTTCATATGGTCATAGAACATATTGATGCAGCTGGGCTATTTATAACAGCGCACAGAATTTCGCCAAAGTACATGTTTTGTACTTGGATCAACTACAACAACAGTAACTTAGCAGAGCAACCAATTTGAAAGGATATTAAAAGGCAACAACTTTTTTTTATAAACTAATGTTGAAACAGACAATTGGTCGACATTTTGCTTATTGAAAAAAAGAATTACGAATGAATGAATACATTGCTAGGCGATGTTTTTTTTTGTGAAAATCTTTTTATGAAGATACACCACAAATCAATTTTGGCACTTTTTACTATTTCTAAAGAAATACATTTTAGGTCTTTTTTGATATCAATTGAGTTACAATAATTATTCGACAAATGTTAGTAATAGAAATTTCAACAATTAAGTTATATTGAGACACTAGAGTGGCTGTGCTAATTTGATATTAAGTAAGCTAGTTAGCAAATCTCTCCCCCATGTAAAAAAGTAGTAACACAATAATTATTTTTCTTTTGCTACAAATTGCTAATTTTATTGAGGTTGAGTCAATTGAGAGGTGAGGAATTGATCTCAGAGTAAACTAATACTCTAAGATTTTCACTATAACAAGTTTTCCAATACTGTGACACCTGTTGTACTATATAATAGCTTCCCTTTGTAGAAATAATAAATTACTCCTGTTTACAAACATTTTATATCCAAACAATACTAGCTACAACCATTACTCCAATTCGATAATTAATTCTAGGCTAGATTAAAGTACCCAAAAAGACCATTTGAAACCCTTAATTTATTGAGTCCTAGTGAAAGCAGGTCAATATATTAATCATTATTATACAGGCGTCCCAGAATTTAGTTAACAAATGATATCTCTGTTATTTTTAATACTAGAAAAATGAAACAAGAGAGTACTTCACATTTATCAGCTGAAAGATGTATTTTTCTCCTGCTAGTTAGTACATGTGATGAGCATAAAACATAATTATGGATACTGAAACAGAAATGTTACAGTGAAATGGAAATTCAGGATGATGGACAATAAAAACCCTTTATAGTGAAAATCATACAATAAACTGTATTAATGAGTTTTAATATGGAATTTCATCAAGTATCGGCTGGTTCTATTCAATTACGCTTGAAAGTTTATCTCTAAACATTCTGAAGTCTTTCGAAACCTGTTTCATTTTTGTAGCTTGATAAATAACAGATATATCACAAGCCAAATAAATTCGGTGAAACCCTGACTTGATCCTTTATTAAGCACAAAAAAGCTAATTATATACAGTTCGTCAAAATATAATTATAATATACAACACATAACACATGACAAATACAAAACACATTCAACTTGGGTTATAATCCCAACTAAAAGTTGAAAAAAAGGAATAACATAAAATCAGTACTTCAATAGATTCAGGTTACTTCAACATATGACGATTTGAATTTGTTTTAAAGGTATAGAGAGAGGTTGCCTCTTGAATAGAAACAGGTAATTCATTAAAAGCATTTAGACCCTTAAAAAATATGGAATTTGGTGAAGAGCTTTTCAACAATTGTGGAACATGAAAATTATTTCTGTTTCTTGTTTGATGTGGATGAATCTGGTAGTCATAGATTATTTTATTAGGAAGATATGGAGGTGCTAGACCCATCTTAGTTTTATGAATGAACACTAATGTCAAAAATAGACGTTTAGTTCAGGGCTGCTAGCATGTGTTGAATAGATTCACATTGATTACAAGATAATGATATTCGTATTCTTCTACTTTGTAGATTTTTTAGTCTATATATCTCATTTTGTTTTAGTAAATACAATATAGTTCCACAATAGTTGAAATGGGGAAGTATTAAAACATTAAGTAGCGTTCCTAATAATTACCTGATAAGAACACATCACATCGAATGTGATTTATTAATTTCCATACTGTCCAGAAAGTTGAGTTTAAAACTTCTGGAAACACAGTTTTGATTTTTTTATTGTACTCACAAGAGTCATAAAAACGTGAGTAGCTCAAGTTAAATCAGTTTTTCTATTCAAGAAACTATTTCTGTATTCTTTACACCTGATTTATTTTTTTTTTCCATTTTGACCTGTGTAAAACATTATATGAGATCCACACGACAATTTACGAACTTGTGATCTATTTGAAGATTGTCTTTATTTTTGATATGGATGATTAAGTTACTATTGGTATTATAAGCCATGTTGACATTATTATTTTGTGAAAATATGAAATCTTTATACAAGATTGGCGCAACTAAGTTGATGTACTGTGATTTTCATTCTCATCACTTAGGATTACGTAAAATTCCTCGATTGTCAATATTATACAGTCAAGTATTTTATCGTTCCTGCTCGAGGAAGCTATTGGATAGCCAAACATGTGTCTTGGTTTTGTGAATTTTTTATAGTAAAAATCTTCAATAAAACTTTATTAGCAAAATTTTAATATGGATTTTCATCAAGTATTGGCCTGTTCCATTAAATTTATTTGTAGATGATGAATTAGATGATAACCCTAACCAATCAGATCTGATAGAACAAGCAGCTGAAATGCTGTACGGACTAATTCATGCTAGGTATATTTTAACAAATCGTGGAATTGCGCAGATGATAGAGAAATACCAGTCAGGAGACTTTGGATACTGCCCGAGGGTATATTGCGAATCACAGCCCATGTTACCATTAGGTTTGTTCCAATATAAATCTCCTATAAATTGTATTATTGATTATTGTTTGTGATAGGCTTATCTGATGTTCCCGGAGAAGCGATGGTGAAATCTTACTGTCCGAAATGTATGGACGTGTACACACCAAAATCGTCGAGACATCACCACACAGACGGAGCCTATTTCGGCACCGGTTTCCCACACATGTTGTTTATGGTGCATCCAGAATATAGGCCTAAACGTCCCACAAATCAATTCGTACCTAGGTGAGACAATTTTGTTTGTGTTATCTTTTTTGTGCCAATTTTTTTTTCTACATATCTCCCAGATATTTGATTTGAACCATTCTCTTTAACATACATACTCTTCAACGAACATACTCTATAACATACATAAAAACAAATTTTAGCTTTGTACATCCATTAAAAACCAAGCAACACTCCATAAAACTCAATATCAAAATCTCACAATAATCGTGAGATTTTGATATTGACAATAATTGACCACACTGTACAATTGAAGTCAACTTCATTTTACAACTACACTGCCAATACACTGCTCAAATGTTTATCGTCTTATTAGATCTCTTTGTATCACACTTTCAACTAGACTTGGAAAAATAAAATGGTTGTCCCATTTAAAAACATTTTTTTCTATTATAAAAATTGGTGGTATTTCCTGTGACAATTTTCAGATATTAACCGAATTTCAACTTTTCAGGTTATTCGGTTTCAAAATACACCCCTTGGCATATCAGTTGCAGCAACAGGCGGCATCTACATTCAAGACCCCTCTCAGAAGTTTGAATTTCAACAACGGCAAGCGCTAAAAGTGGACCTATCTGATGAATTGTAATCAAACTGAAAAAATACCATAGTTAAAACGTGTTACGAAGGAATTGTATTACTTTTTATCAGTTGAGTGACCTGTAGTTATATATTATTTTATATATGAAATTGAAACAGTTGAGGAGTTTTCAGTCTGCTGATTTTGTTCTGGGGTCATTTCAAACAAGTGGGGTGGAAGTTGGAATCGCAAAAGTCGTCAAACTAATACCAAAAGAAAATATGAGTTTTTCAGAAAATATCCTTCATTTCATCAAATGAATATATAATATAAAATGTTTCTTGAAGATGAGTAAAGGATTTACATTCCTCAGTTTGTAAGCATTATTTTTGTTTTATAAGAATCTGATTCATTCCAGAATAAAGAAGGCATTTTGAATTATTTCTGAGAAGCAGACTTTCAATGATTAGAAGAACCAGAATATTCTAACTTTTTATTCTTTAGTGAATCAGCATCTAAAAACAATTTTTCAGTAATTCATGGTTTTTTATTTGACTTTTGTGAGACGATTTCAGTGAGATTTTCAATATAAATAGTATGTCATTCATTTTCCTAATTCACTGTTTGTAAAAGCTAATCAAATACTAGGTTATTATTTATGTTATGTACAACCCTGTTTATAAATACAGAGTGCTGTGTGTGTTGGCCAAAATTGATTCTGAAATATCTTTTTTTTTTTGTGAAATCTCGTTTTTCGTTTTTACTTGTATATATTTCCATGAATTTTGGCAAACAGTGGATACCTCTGTATTGCTAAGGTTTTAATATTATTAAATTAGTAATTATAGATTGTTGTTTAATTATTATCATGAAAAGATCTCTCAAATTATATACGAAAAAAAACTTATCATTTAAATTCAATTCAATTTATTAACTTTTTTGATAACAACACATATATTTAGGTTACTGCTATATAGGAGCATCTGGTTAAGAAGCAGAAATTGCCTAGGCAAAGATGCCTGTATTGCATTTCGGCACCCTTTCAGTTGCTTTCAAATTTTGTTTTATATCTAAATTAGTTGCGAGTATAGAGTATATAATCAATGAAAAAAAAAAATTCTTGTAATAATGAGGAAGAACCAACGGAGACACCAAATATTGGTTTTCCTTTTATGCCTTTTAGGTGCATCACGGAATCAATAGAATAAAAATACCATTACTAAATTTATCGGAATTTATTGAGGTTTAGTAATATACATTTTTTCACTTGTATTTTGAAAGTTTTGGTTTGTTGAAATAATAATGTTGACCTTCACCTTTAAAACTGTACATTAACTATTTGTTAAAGAAAAAAATATAAATCTGTTGACAGAATGAAGAGAACATATTTTCCATATGAAAAAACTAATACATATTATTGGCCAGTCATTGGAATGAAAAAACTAAAATCTTAACATGTGGCATATAAAGGGAAGGCTGCCCCCAAATTGTTGAAAGGGAACTTCATATAATCTAACTGCATTTCAGTAATGATGATATAATTAACACTAAAAAATACATTTTTCTGGGTGCAAATCATTCTTTTCATTAGTTTATATAAAAAGGAAGTTCATTTTCTAGTAAGAAGGCTGCTCCATTAGTTTTGCGACTTGGCAACGCTGGCATTGCTAGATAAAATCTAGACTCGCTCCTGAACTAAATTTACAGTGAGGTCCATTGGAGTCGTAAACTCGACATCCATCTCCTGTGTAGACTCGCTCCTGAACTAAATTTACAGTGAGGTCCGTTGGAGTCGTAAACTCGACATCCATCTCCTGTGTAGACTCGCTCCTGAAGTAAATTTACAGGGAGGTCAGTGTGAGTCGTTAACTCGACATCCATCTCCTCTGTAGACTCTCACCTGAACTAAATTTACAGGGAGGCCCGTTGGAGTCGTAAACTCGACATCCATCTACTGTAGAGTCTCGCTCCTGAATTAAATTTACAGGGAGGTCAGTTGGAGTCGTAAACTTGACATCCATCTACTCTAGAGACTCGCTCCTGAAGTAAATTTACAGGGAGGACAGTTGGAGTCGTTAACTCGACATCCATCTCCTCTGTAGACTCTCACCTGAACTAGATTTACAGAGAGGTCCGTTGGAGTCGTAAACTCGACATCCATCTCCTCTGGAGACTCGCTTCTGATCTAAGTTTACAGGGAGGTCAGTTGGAGTCGTAAGCTCGACATCCATCTCCTCTATAGACTCAGCGTCAGAAAGAATTTTTAAGTTTACTATGTCCATAAAGGTCTCACGAGTAGCTAGGGAAAGAAGGTCAATCAGGCAGAGCCCCGCATTACCGTGACAAGGCGATGCTACGACGAGAGGGCGCCCGGTATCTCGAAGGTTCCGTAGAGACAGCTGATAGGCTCAGTCCGAGAATACCTACCACAGGTATTCATCTTCTCGGCACGGATACACACACCTTAGGATTAAGCCATCGTTGGGATGCCATTCAGTTAGGGAATAACAGAACCACAAGTGATTCTGTCATTCCCGAAGCAGGCATCCGATGGCCGGTTTGCTCAACCCCCACATCCCAAGCCAATGCACTCGCCAAAAACAGCATGCACAGTGGTTTAGGCAGTGGAAGATGAACAAGGTTAGCCAACCCGCCAAATAATGGAATATAACTAAACACTTTTGTGCTATGATTTTTTTGTTGGTTGTTGGCTACTAGTTGCCGCATGATTGTACTTAGCTCACTGATGAACCATGCAAAGGTTTTCTAAAATCAGCTGATTTGACAGAAAACATCACTGATGTTAATGATATATGACGTAGCGTGAGATTTAGGCATCCCTGGGTGTTGGTATGAATTGCATATGTTCGCACTTGAAGCACAGCTTACTATTAAGTAAGCTGTGCTTGAAGCACTTCAAAACAAATGATCGTCCCTGTTTTTTTTCTCGGAAAAACTGGTCACGTGGTAACAGTTATCATTAGAGAAAATTAGAACAGTCAATTTTAAGTGGTACACAACCATTTGTTTGTCAAAAGTCATCATGACAATAGGAACTCTCAAATATCCATAGTAAAATCCTGATGTGGCTCCTAATGACTTTTTTTGTTCTCAAACATCATGAATGAACAGCATGGTCAACAAACAATTTTTGACTTCAGAAGAAGAAGGCTGATTTGAAATATATGTTTTGGTACCACTTTTGGAGTGGTATGGATGCCATAATTAGTGGTTTAAGCGTAAGCAGGTGTGTTGACTATCATGGAGGAAGCTTTGAACAACAATTAAGCTATTTTCAATTACAAACTACCGCGTGTTTCACTAGTGGCAAAACTCATAGGGCGGCCCTCTTACTATACACAAATTTTGCTTTTGGGCCCTCAATGAAACAATATGCCCACCTTTAAAACAAGATTCTGTATAGTCAGCGAGTTCTGTGAGTTGTGTCCCATTACTTTGCATAAGTCGCAAGGATGAAAAATAATATTGGCCTTGATGTGGACTGACAAAGCATTAGTTGAAAACTATCAATCATTAAATGATGAAATTCAAATTAAGAATTGACAAATTGATAGTACCAACTCTGGTATGTATTTTATGCTTTTTATCAGTAATGCCAACTTCGATTGCATTCGATTCCTCAGTTGCAATCTATTTAAAATTAGACCCATTTTGTGACCTTTCCTATAACAAGAAATATGAGATTGTGGACTAAAACTCTGTGATTTTTTGGGTAAGAAAGATTTTATGTGTGCGTATTGCAATAGTTCATTCCATTCTACCATCACAGATCAAACACAAAATAAAAATTATATTGCCAAATTTTGAAAATTTTAGTTTGTATCAAAGCTATTTTCAAGGTTTGTTGATCGTGGTCTGCAGGTTTTTATGAACGATTGGGTAGATAAGATAAAGCAAAGAATAAAGTATTCTGGTTGTTCTCAAAGTATATCACAGTATTGGTTTGAGTCTCTGTTCTTATTGATTGATGATGAGCGAGGCTCAGTTTCTGTTGGTAGAATTGAAAGATCTTATACGAGAGCAGTTGAATGTAGTTAGCCATATTTTATTATTGTTAATACCTGTTTTCTTTCAGTTGAAGTTTCTGTGTTCTATCAAGCATTTGGGGTGTCTCTTCAAACGTGATAACATGGGCACCTTCTCTAATTGTATGCTCTGCTACTGCTGATCAGTATGCCACTGGGGACAATTTCTCTTGTGTTTAGTTAGCCGGATACTCACATTTCTCTTCTTGGTATATAGACTGACCCTCAGCTACAAGGGGTTCGGTGAACCCCTGATATTCCTATAGACCCTCTGAGACCTTCAGCTAACCTGATCAGATTGTAACATTCTTCACATAGGGCAGAAAAGATTTTCCTTTGACATATTTATTTAGAGTTATCTTGACATTATCTTTCCTGGGTCGTATTGCTTTCTTCTAAACCATTTTTGAGTTCTTCCAGAAGACCCAGGTTCACAAGTTTGTGCTGTACTTACGGTATCAACAAAGCCACACCCACCGTCAATGGAATAAAACCAGAAACCCAAACCACCAGAACGTATGTGTTAGTTTAGTTGCGCAAATAAATATAGATTTTCAATTCACCCTTCTTTGAAACACGTCACAAACTACTAATATGGAATATAATATAAATATTATATTTTTCTTGGGATCAACAAACAAGATGGATATGAATTGAGGAACGCACATTCTGAATGACTAAAAAAAGGTGGCATTCCTTATCTTTTCGATTTACTCTGCTGGAAAAACTAACCTTTTTGATGGAAAAAATAGAAGTGGCAAGTGAATGAAGGTCCACTGTATGAGATCTAAAAAGGTGTCATTTTTCATTACCGGAAGTGTTCACGAAATGGATTTTTTGACTTTTGAAAGGCCGCATCTCTGAAAATAAACCGAAGTATAAAGTTTCAACTCCAGATTCTTGATCAGCAGGCAAAAATATTCAAGTTCAAATTAAATATTCTCCAAAAACTAGTCCTAGCCTCTCACTTGGATCTGAACAAATAAAAACACCTTGAAATAAAACTCCAGAATGCTAGTATCAAATTTATCATTTTCAAAAAAAAATTACAATAAAAACTTGTTTGAATTTACGATTAAAAATAATTCGTCAATGATATAAAATTTAACAACAATATACAATTATAATTAGTACAAGTCCAAATTGATCACACATTATTAACGCTGCTACAAAGTCTCAATTAAAACAGTTATATCTCGAAACTACACCACTATTCAACCTCAAACTCAGTCCTATTCCTCCAAAGATAAGAATAAAAAACGTTCTTGTGCAAGTCCCGCTAAGACTATCGAGGTATCCCGCAGGGTACCTCACCGAGCCTACTATTGGTCCCTACGTATATCAAAGACGTTATTTGAGTAGTAAATACTTTGAAATCAGGCGAAATTATTAAATTGCTAAATGACTGGGGGACATAGTTGAAAGATCTGTTAGGGGAAGTTACTTGGAGAAGCTGTGATATCGAGCAATAAAAATGCACAATATAATACAACCTCAAATGACTAAGAAGCTGAAAGTCAAATATAAAATCCACAGAACAGTTCAAAGACGAAAATACAGCAAAGTAAATTCTGTATATGGTGTTATTAGCCCTTGTTTCTGTCAATCTCGACAGGGTCGAGCTGTCATCAACCTGTTACCTCTGAAAGGTCTTTTAATTTTCTTCTCAACGAGAGTTTCGTAATTATTGCTTCAACAAGTCATTTTTGCTCAACTGGCTCTGCTGTTCTAGAAGTTGCGCCAAAGATTTGGGGCCGTGGCCGCTGAACAGAGATTGCTGCGGCATGTGATTTGTCAAGTTCTCTTGAGGCTTGTTGTTGCGTAATTGGCCGGCCAGATTCGGAGTCCAACTATTGTTAAATAACGAATATCCAGGCATGGTTGTTTGGGTTTGTACAAAAGGTTTTTCCTGAGTTGGTGGAGGCGGCTGAAATTGAAAAATTTAGGCTATTTCAAACATTAACAGCATATTTTGTAAAATTTCACTTATGAACTCGACTAATATCCTAAAGGTAAATCCTAATATATTTGAAAGTTTCTAGAGATCATTTTTGCAAAATATATTAGAAAAATGTATTGCAAAACAACTCACATTAGACATCCTCGCCATATTGCTCCTGGGAGGTCCAACAGCGGTGCAAGGAAGATTTGCTTCCTTCAGCATGGCCTGCCGCATTGACATCCCTTGGTTGGTGTTCTCAAAGTTATTAACGCTAGCGTCGTTCACATAACTAGCCGAATAGTTACTCCATGGCGAGCTGAACAAATCCCCTCCGCTGCTGTGACTCCCCTGTGACTTGCCCTGCATCATCGCGCCACCTGGCGGAGGTTGAAGGTAACTGCTAGGAGGAGGAGGAGGAGGATAAGAGGGGAAGTTCATGGGGTACTCCGAGCGGTAACTCTGCTGAGTCTGTGGGGGTGGGTTGTTTTGCCACCACGAAGGATTCGGCATCAATGGCAAGTCGTCCCGCTTCCACACGTTGAAAGGGTGTGAGGAGGGATAGGAGGCGTTCTGATATGGTGTGGAGCTGGGGATGTAGCCGGTTTGCTGCTGTGGCTGTGGCTGCTGAGGCTGGTACCCCAGTGGCGGCGGTTTCTGACTCAGGTTTATCCCTAAGGGCTTAGTGCTCATGTTCTGGTAAGGAGGGATGATCTGCAACCCCATTCCGGACAACCCCGACTCCTTGTTCGGGTACTGGTAACTGCTGGGACTGTCCATCTGCATGTTGGGTACGTTCCGAAGTGCGGCGAGATAATCGGGCTGTGAGGGGGGTGGCACAGGGAATGCGGGGTGGTTCTGGTTGAAGGATTGCGTTCGGAGGGACTGGTTGAGTTGCTGCTGCGGCTGCTGCTGGGTTTGCTTCTGTTGTGACTGTGAAGATTCGAATTTGACGGACTTTTCTTTTTCCGGCTCGTCCACGGTGAATTTCACCTGGAAAAAATACCCATACAGAAGTGCCTCCAAAATTTACTGAAATATACCCAACAAATATGATACGAGAGGTGACAAAAAGTGTAAACTAGCATGGCCGGAGAAAACTGTGTTGACTGTCCGTGATCTGGAGGATTTCAGTTCCGTCTACAATTGCGGTAGACGCTGTAACAACAGACGAAGTGCTCTAGTTGTTTTCCCAGTCCATACATGCACTTATTATACACATTCAAGACAACTAAAGCACTTCGTTCGTTGCTTCATCTCATTTCATAATGTCTACCGCAACTATAAACGAATCATCAGACATGAAAACATGCAGACTACAGCCAACAGAACTCTATGACGCATAACAAAACGAATTTTTTGTTAAGTTGATTGATATATTCATCACTAATAAAATTTTCATCTAGAAATTCTTGAATTATCCTCTTTAAATTATTGCATCGTCTAGTATTACCTTATTTCTTGGCATTCAGTGATCAATTATTGTATAATTTTCATTAACGTGGTTGTCCAATTCGGAAGTATCAGTTATTTTGAGGAAAGTATTTGTTTCGTCGGCATACAAGACCAATACGTTGGGTATTGATTTGAAGAAGTTATTCAGATTATTGGCATTAATGATTATCGACGCTTGGGAGTAGGCAGATTGAGACCCCTGCGGAGACCAGACCTGAGGAGTAGGCAGATCGAGACCTCAGTCTAACCATAATTTTTTGAAAATGGTTTCAAATTCGAAGCCGAAACGTCGAAAAATAAAAAACTCTAAACGTGGTTAAACCCGGACTTCAGATTCAAAATACAAAGTGTACCTAGAAAACCAAGGCATATATAAGATCGCTTGTGGAGATTGCAGCGAGGAATACGTCGGCTAAACAAATAGACGAGTATTAGTCAGATTAGAGGAACAAACTATCACTTCACAACAAACAATCTCAGCTGTATACAAACACCCACTTGATATAGGTCATAACATCGACTTCAAAAGCTGCAAACAGATCGCCAGTATACAGCACCAGAAAACCATAATGAAAAGTGCTCAGACATTCTGCTTCTTTTGAATTTATCTACTTTGGAGCACCGCCGAGCTGAAATTGATCTATGACTTCTTCATAAAGTTATGAATGGTGATATGAACTGTCCATTTCTAACACAAATGATTAACTTCAATGTAAATTCAAGAAGAACCAGAGTTTCGGAGTGGTTAAAAGTTCCTTACCATTCTACTAGCTATGGCCTAAATGAAACCATCACTAGAATGCTTAGGTTAGCAAAAAATAAGAACAGCAGCTATATTGATTTGTTTGACTCATCCTTGTACTCTTTTAAAAATCATGTTAAACGTATTGACCTACTATGAAGAAACTGCTGATTATTATTTCACACCGTCGACCAATCAGGACTTTCCTTGTTTCTTGTAAACACAAGATCTATTAACTGAAACCACAAATGTGCGGCTGGCTCCTGCTGGTGGCTCTGTGCATTTGTATTTCTTTCTTTTGGTAACCAAGTGTTGCCCATCCTTACACTTGGCTGCACCATACTGATGATGGCAACAGCCCGAAACACGTGTCTATGGTTTGCCACTTTCTTGAGTGATATGTCCGATTATTAACTTCTGCATCTATATCAAGACACTCAATAACCTTCATATTTGTATAATTTCTTGGACCCGGATGTCACGCAGGTAGCTATAGCTGCCTCCGTGGTGATTTTGATAGTTTTCTTGTAAACACAAGATCTAGTAACTGAAACATCTACACATCTTTGTATATAGTTAATTTTTTTTTAATTGATTGCTTCCTTCCTTTACTTGGTTTGATGTCCTTCCTTTCTTTGGAAGATTCTCACATTTTTTGTATTAAGAGGGAGAAGTAGAAAGCCAAATATACCCCTTTCAATTTAAATATACGATGTATTAACAAATTTTGTGAGCATAAGCACATATGTGAAATTAACGGACTCTAAAAATATAAAAAAAATTACCGCTCACCTGTTTATTTTCCTCCATCTTCTTGAATATTGACTGAAGGGCAACATTCTGTTTCCCCCTCTTCATCTTCATGGATTCAGCCTTAATATTCAACGATCCAATGCTCAAAATGCTACTGACCGTCAAATCTTTGGAAGTAGAAGACAGCAATTCCCTCTCCTCCCTGGATTTTTCCAAAGATCCTTGAGGCTTCAGAATGCCAGCTTTCTTCTCCAGACCTTCAACACAGAAAATAATCCACAATTATACATTGAAGAGTTACTGTGGCACCGGTACCTAACTTTGAGAAACACCTTTTTTTTATTATAGAAATGGTTCACTCACTTTTTCTGTGATCCGCGTCTGAAGGTTCCTTCAAGCTGAACGATTTCATTTCTTCCAGAAGAGCGTTGGTGGGGTCAGGCTGGATGCAAACTGGCTCAAAACTAACCTCACCATTGGTTTCGTTCCTGAAAGATAATTTGGATCAAAACAATTAAAAGTGATAATCTTTCAAATATAGAACTTACTTGAGTATCAGTTTGTTACCGTTCACGTCAATTTCGGTTAGCCACTCGCTGAGACTGACGAGGCGGTTCATCCTGATCAGCCTTTCTAGTTTGATGTCATCGATGTCCTCGCTGAAGTTGAAATCCTTGAAATTGTTCGCCAATGGCAGAAAACCCTGCAGCGCTTTGTCTTCGGGTAGAGGAGTTTTTGCATCTGGAAAATAGTTTCTAAAAGTTGAGTTTGTTTAACATTCAGATATGCGACTTTTGGTACAGGTGTTAGAAAAGATGTTACAAAACGTTCAAAAGCCACTTACATTTGTTGTAATTGAACCCTTTCAAGTGTTTCTGCACATTATTCAATAGTTTGACAAGGCTAGGCCAAATTTGCAGTCTGTTTGTGAAAACTTTCTCCTTAAGTACGGTAGGATTGTTTTGGATGAAGTACAGCAAAAATTTCACTGTAAAAGACAAACAGAGTTAATGATTTTCCTAACTGTTTTATAGCAAAACGGTTAAGACTTTCGCGGTCGAGGTTTTCAGTGTCATTATTTTTCCGGTTTGAAGACCGTCGATTTTTGGAGTTTCCAGCTTTTTCGGAGGGTTATACATCCTGAGTTTATCTTCGATGACTGGATATTACGGCTGCGTAAAGCAGGTGCGTATTACGTTTTACGCAGCCGTAATATCCAGTCATCGGAGATGAAGTCAGAATGTATAAACCTCTGAAGAAGCTAGCCATTCGCGCCAGCGAAACGTCAGGAAGACATTTCAAGAATCGACGGCCTTCAAACCCGAAAAATAGTGACCCTGTTCTATAACAGTTTTTATGTGATTTTGTAACTGACAGAAAGGTTACAGACAAAATGAATCGAACAAAAAACTTCTCCTTCACGCCAGAACTGAAACACTCTTCTCGATGTACATTTCACCAATCAAGTCGGCGGAATGATGACGTGACTGAACTAATACACAAACACACAAGCTTTCAAAAATGCATGTTACCTTCAAGAAATGTTAAATAACTCTAAAAATAAGACGAAGGAACCAGAAGAGTCTGGGATTTAAGAATAAGCTGCAAGGACTGGGATGAAAAATATGTCAGTCATATTGAAGAAGCAAAGAGCACGTGACGCATATCTGATTTCATATAGCAGGTTCTAGGGTCGCTCGACAAGCATTTTAGAACCCCACCCTACTGTGTAGGTAGTTGGTACGAATATCAAAGATAAACGAGACTCCGCCTCAGATATCTCTGATATTCGTGAAATTAATCTTCTGTCATCCCACAGATCGAGTCCTCATCAACATATACTTTTCTATTTTCGTTTTTCTGAATGATCTAATTACAATTAACATCAAAAAATGTATCAAAATAATGATAACAATAATTCATTTTGCTAAAAACGTTGAAATACTGAAGAATGCGGGTAAGTCAATTATGTGTGAGGGTACCTTTTTTATGTCATGGAAATAACCAATGAAATCCTCAAACAGTTTTTCATACAAACACAGTAGAACCTTCATTAGGGACCTTCATATTAACCTTGGAAAGTTAACTATTCTATTATCTATATATCTAATAAATCAACCTACTTAGAGAAAATTAAAATAAAATTGTGTTAAAAAAAAGTCTTATAAATCTAAACCACGCAGAGTATATCTAAGAGTACAATCTGTGATTTTTTACGTGTTAGGAAATTATCCAATTAAAAGAGTGAAAATCTCTGTTGTATGTGTGACGAAAGAAGGCGAAGAAATTATATTTTCTTTATCCATCAAAATAAATTGACCATAAAATACATCAGGAATTATTATAACATCATCCTTACTATAGGAGGATGCATAAAAATGAATTCAAAAAATTAGAACTTTATTTGGAGGCAATATTATTTTCGATCTTCAATAAAAATTTGACACCACATGTGACTGAGACTTCATAGTACTCAACACATTTTTTATACGTTTTTAGTACCTTTTCAAAATTAGAATTACGAATTATAAAAAAAGCAGAATATCATTACAAATTCAGAAGATAATATATATATATATTTTACATTGGATACTAATTGTACATACCAGCCGGTAACGCATAATAGTCCATTAACCCATCGTCCATCTTCAGTGTGTGCACCGGAACCAACAAAGCGCTCAGAGACCCTGCTATAAGTTCCATAACTAGCTCCCTAACTTTCTTTTCATCAGCAGTTAGATCTTTCAACTTTTTCTGATCTGTCCCCAGATGATTCAAAGCATACAAATTGATAATAGTTATTTTGATGAGAGCGTCCTTGGTGAAGCTCTGAGTTGCAACGAGGGCGGTCATTATGGAATTGAGGCTTTTAACAGATAACTCGGCCTGTCTCAGTTCTGAGCATGTGTGGAAGTAACCGTGTGTGCAGAGAAATAGTTGGATAAACTCGTTTACAGTCATCTTCGTTTGGATTTTCTCAGAAGGGCTACAAAACAAATTAACATTGAATGCTATACAGGTTGTCCCTTAATGATATGCGAATATTCAATGGTGTAAATCTACATGAAAACATCTTATTTCCGAAACCATTTGTCGTTATTTTAGTAATATTTGGTAAGCAGTGACAGCTGATAAAAAATAATTTTCAATTTCAACGGGAACGTAAGTATGGGAATTGACTCATTATTATTAATATTTTTCAAGACAAAAAATGATGATAGTATGGATTTATTTCAAATAAAATTTATTTTTGAACTTCTCATTCAATTTGGGATAAAAAAGTCCTTAAAGGTTTCTCTACCACGAAACGTCTTTTTCCATAAAAAGAACAAAAAACAAAAACCCTTGTAATGTCGGAAAAATTATTGAAAATTGTTATTGTTTTGAAGTTGAAAATCATTTTTTTACTGAAAAATATAAACTTAGATAAACTGACACTGCTTACCAAATACCACTAAAATATCCCAAATGGTTTCGGAAATATTAAATAATTGATCAAAGAATGTAAACTTTCACGGCCAGAGATAACTGCGTGAAAGCTTCTTTCCGGATTTTTTGGCCGTGGTCTGCAGATTTATATACCTGCAGCACTGCAGCACCAACTCGGCCAATGCGATCTTTACCACATCGCCTTTGATAATGTATACCGCAGTAGTAGACGAAACCTCAGGCATAAAAACCTGCACACCACGGCCAAAAAATCCCGGGAAATAGCAGTCACACTATTAAATAATTTCCACAGTTTTCTCAAAACTTCAACACTTCGTAATTTCGTAAATTTGGACCCTAGTTTATATAACCTATCATTATTTTCTCATGTAGATTTATACCCTTGAATATTCACATATCATTAAGGAACATCCTGTACACAGTATGTCCAACAGGAGGGGAAACAGAACAGAAATGTATTTTTTTTCAAGTAATTTAGTATAGAAATTTTTACTTGCTAAAAAATATGATATATCATACAGAGTGTGATTAATTAAGTGAAAAATTAATTTTTTTTATTAAAGTAAAGTGAATTTTATCTGAGAAAATTGTTCCATATCATCACATTTTCTACAATTATGGTAAAGTGAGAGGGAGGTAAAAGAGTCCTTTTGTGTGTGTGTCCTTGCCGAAAGGTAGTATGACTATGTGTCCACTCAATGATAAACTACATTATATCATAAAATTGAATAATTAAAAAGTTCTCATTTTCATAATTTCTGATCATTCATTTCTATTTAGTCTGGCAACATTACTTAGCGTTAAGCTGCTATCACGGGAAATACCCGGTCAGAGACCTCTTAATAGAAAGCCAATCAAAGTATTGCATGGAAACGCAGTCTCGCTTCACATTCCAATATTAAGATTTCTCAAAGTATTTGATGTGAGAATAAATAATAGTGTCACATAGTTTTAAAACGATAACACGTGTTTGATAAGTACAAATTCGTATTCTGTTGTGAAGAAAAAATATATCACCTGTGTTTATTTTATTAATAAGGTAAGAAGTATTCATTATACTTACACTCATATGTTTTATAGTTTTCTTTACAAAACATTACATGATTGAAAATCATGTCTATTATTTGTTTCATATCTTTGATTTGTTGGGCTAAAATTCACCTTCTTTTTTTCATTTTGCGTTTTATATTGTATTAAACATATATTATGTCTGAAATACTAAAATAGGTAATATACAAAGTAATATTATTATGCATTATATTCATCCAATTTTAATTCAAACAAATTAGTCCAGTTCTTTAAAGGTAATTATACTCAAGAAACAAATATCTACAAATGTTATTAGTATTTTTATACAGGTTACGCACACAATATTGGTGCATTTTTCATAGTTTCACAATCATATCAGGTTAAGGCACTAAGAGAGATAGGAATAAAAGGAAAAAATGGGAATCTGGTTCAACAAAAAGAAAAAAGAAAATTTTTGTTTCTCAAATTAAAGTAAATTGAGTAAATAGCCGCAGTTTTAGTGACTTTGACATGATGGTTTTTTATTACATTTGAGTCGTTTTTTTTATTTTCAATTTTGTTGTTTACTGTTCCAAGATAATACATAAGTAAAAATGTTGGCCACCGTTTCCTAATGAATAAAAAATTGTTTAATTTCAAGTTGTTTTTTTATTCTGTAAACCCTTCTTCTTGCACCATCAGAGGGCCTCGCAAAATGTACCTTGCCAACATTAAATTTATGTGTTGCGCCTGATGATACTATATTGATATGTGACCACTGAATTTATTTTTGAGAAAGTTATTTGATAACTTTCATTTTTACATTCCAATCACATTATCTTTATTCCAATATAATATAGACATTTCAGCATCTATAATTATCTCAAAGTCTAAAAATCGTAATGGTGTATTTGTTTCACTTTACCCTGTTTTCTTAAATGTTTTATTTTATATTTGGAAGTAATTTGAAATAAATATTCATATATTTTGTACTGTCATTAACATTTTGAACTAATGAAATCTTCAAAAGTTACTGTCTGTGACGTAATTAATCAAAGGTATACAAAATCAAAAGTATATACAAAAAATTTTAAGTGAAAAGTAAATTTCATAGCAAAGAAAATTTACTATCCAAACTTGAAGAACTTATAGAATTTTTTAACTCTTCAGTTTTTTTTTTAATAATTATATTCAGCAAGCAAAAATTTGTATAGAGAATGACTTTTTTTAAAAAAACTGAAAATTTTGGTTCATTTTTTCATTTGTTTATTACATAACCGGATATATTGTATAATATAACTTACTTGTCTTTATCTATGGATGAGCTCAAAGTATTCAGCAAATTTGTTGCCGAAGCTGGGAAAGGATTTTTCACAGCTATGCCCCTTATGTAGTAGAAAACTGTTGATAATTTATTTCCCTGACTTGCCTCCAGAAGGGCAAGCTGATTATAGGGGTGACCACTCGTTGGCGATACCATTATGGCTTGACTGCAAAATTATGATAATAATAATGAATATACTTTAGAACCTAAAGATCAATTCCTCCTGACAAAGCCTGAAGGATGATAAAATTAACAGTAACATCTAAAGATATTATGTAAAATACATACAAATGTAAACTCACAGAAATAGCATATTCAGAGAATATATAACTGATTCTAGTTCAGAATTGACCATTGATAAATTCATTAAAATTAACCAAGACCTGCTCCGCTCATCAATAAATGTTTTGATGTTTTTTACTGAAAATCAATGTTCATGCTGATTTCTTCAACATACCCTGGTAAATGATTGTAAATTTTAACATTATGTCCTTAATGAGTTCAGAGGAGGGCAAATGTACTTTTAAATTATTTTTATTACTTAGGTGAGTGCAGTAATGAGAAGTATTTTCAAAAATCAAAATATATTTTTTCACAAGATGTAACATCCTATTGGCAAATGAAGACGAAGAAGTTCACAACCAAAGAACCAGATACAAAGGCACAAATCAATTGTCGATTGAACAAAACTAACAGAGTTGCTATCGCCACTTAAATCAGACAACGGCAACCTCAGGTATCGAACTATAACTGTTAGTATTTTTTGTCTTAAAAAACCTGCTTACATGAGTCACATAGATTCATCATAGAAATTTTTCTAATGGGTCTTTTTTGTAATTCAATAACTGACTCCAGTAAGCTAGTAGTACATACCCTCAAAAAATATTCCATATTTCAAGTGTGATTTTATTATGGCGTGATATTCAGTTCTGCGTATAACTGATAAATAAGTTTCAACACTAAAAACTATTTTCCAAAACTAATTCTGGACCTACTTACTGGTAAAAACTCTCTGCTTGTTTCCTTTGATTCCTGTACCTTGCAATATCTCCGAGGTGAACCAGACAATACTGGCAGATATACAGGCAGGAAGATGCCTGTGGTAAGTCAGAAAGCTCCGAATTCTGATTTGACTGACCAAAAACATTGCCTCGTCTTCGGAAAGGTAAATCAACGTCGAAAGTATTGCACAGCTCTTGTAATAGGGTGATGTAAAATCCAGACGCTGATTCTAACGCCCAGGTGAGAAGGGCTTGACAATCGGCTCGTTGCGGGTTCTACAATGGGGCATTAGAATCAATATTCATGAAAAAGATTGTAATAATAGAAATCAAATTATTCATTTCTTTCATTGAAAAGTATTGAATTATTTGAAAATATTTTAAAAGAATAACAAGAAGTCATACAATCAGAATTAATCTTACAATACAGGTATAAAACACGGACTCCTAATTAATTTACAACAAATTAGAATTCAATCCTAAAATTCTTTGTCTCAGAGATGGGTTGGTGAATTTTTTTATCAAAATTTTCAATTTTTTCAATGAATGCTACAAGTTCAGACTTCCATTGTCTAGGAAGGAGGTAACAGATTTGAAATATATGGAAGATTATAATTTCATTCACTTTCATTTCATTGTTTCTCCATAGATTTCAAATATGTTAACCTCTTTTTATACAATGGAAGTCCAGTAACATTCAACAAGAAACATCGTCAACCACTTTTAATTTCAATGAAATCAATGTACTGTATTTCACTCGACAAAAGGGATATATTTCATATTGGACGGTTGGCTACCCTTTTGAAGACAAAAGTTTGAATACATCGTAACTAGTGTACTTGAATCAACCTTAGACCTAATAATAGGCATTTTCACAATATATTTCACAGTTCACAATGTATTCGACAGTAAGTATAGCCAACATTATAAAATTGAATGTCCCCTCTTTTTTCAAGTGAAATACAGTCTATTGTGGAAGGCACATTTTAGATGACAAAAAAACAGGAGTAATCAATGCTATTTTCAGTTTTTCAGGTAACATTCCATGTTCCTCAGAGATACTGTTGAGTAATATCAAAGGGTAACAAAATTCATTTGAACATTTCTACAGTCGATTATTTGAGACATCATCATAACTTATTGCATTAGAGATTTTGGGGGTCGTTTACCAAATTGAAATAATCTATACAGATATTGAATGAAAGAGCAATGTCTAGATAAGATGTGTTGAAGTGATATTGAATAATTATTACCTTCTTGTCTCTAGCCAAATCCTGCAAACACGATATGTGATTTTTGAATCCGATATTCCACAGGTCTTGCTCGACTTTTTTGTCGAGGGCATACTCAAGATCGAGAACCAGTACTTGGTGATAAATGGTTTGAAGCTTTTGTTGATCTGTCCATGGCTCAGCACTATTGAGCCAATCGCATTTTCCAGAGACTTTGAGTTTCAATTCGTCAGCTTGCCTGAATCAAGAATCAATCAATCGTTTCTTCGCAGAGAAGGAATTCTAGATACTTACTTCAAAACTTGAACAGCTGCTTTGAAACCCATTACAAATTTAGAGGTTATGTAGGTGTGAGGGAAATATGAGCCGATCTTCAAAAGTTCAGATCATTTTGAAAATTTATTGCAAAGTGTCGAGAAAAAAAAATATACATTTGTTCTAGGAGATCTTAAAAATCATTTTTTACACTAAACACTGAACCTAACAATTGTCTAAAATTCAAATGTCAGTGTCAATGATATTCATTCTGTCTTCTGTCAATATGTCAAAGAAGAATTTCTATTCTACTGATAATGATGACGATGGGATTACTCAAATGACAATCAGCGCTGATGAATGTGAAGTTTGTTTATTGTTTTGGCGTTTGCTATCTATTGAGCCTTATTCTGAATTTGTGAGCGTAATGTTTTTTGTGCGATTATTATAGAAATGAATAGGTAAAATAAATTACTTTCGCTATGATGACTTTCTTTTTGTTTTACCATCTGACTTAGTTTGATATATATCCGATATTTGATAGATGTCGCATTTGGATGATGAACTTCCATATAGGCTATGAATAAGATGTCTAAAAGCTATGAAGAAGTCCCAAGTGTATTATAGGAAATAGAAACCCTGACCCGTCGTACCAAACTAAGGAGACGTAAAAACAATAACATGTCCGGAAAGCGTGCCCAGAATAAGGCAAATGAGACTTTGCCGAAACGTGAAAATAATTCTTATGAGGATAAAAAACACGGAGCGAAACCCAAAAAAACAGCTCATCATACTTTGTCCGTGAGAATCTTCGAGCTAATATATATCTTTATGCACGACAGTACATCATATATTTATGATGTACTGTCGTCCGGGTGGAACGGCGTCGTAATTTTCATCTGTTCGACGTTTCGGCATCTACTTTGAAGCTATTTTCAAGGACCACTTGAAACTGGAACTACATGACTCGACGACGGTGTCGTAATCTCCCTGATCCCCAAGTTTTGTTTTTGCTTTGTCCAGCTACAAGTGAACACTGAATATACCTATATAAATATATATGCGGACGTCAACTCCAATGCAGCTCAAATGCACCGTGCAGAAAAAACGTCGAAGTTTATTTAATTTCAGCGATGTTATCGTTTGTACTTCAATTACTTGGTTACAGATGACGCCAGTAGTCAAATTTTAGTCAGATTTCAAAATATCCCATAATATAACCAAAAAAGAAGTGAAACTTGATTTTAATTAAATTCCACAAAAATGCTCAAAAAGGTAGATGTGTATGTGAAAACTGTGGCTTTACAGGTTCGTATAAATTCTAACACAAAGTTTTGCCTGATCCATGGCCGGATTTTAGCTTAGATCTAGATTTTTTTCTGCAACCAAACAAGAACTTGAAAAGCGAAGGGAAGAACTTATGGCAAGAGGATTGCCTAAACAAAAACCTATCAAAGGGGTGAAACATATCGTTCTAGTTTGTTCTGGAAAAGGTGGAGTTGGCAAAAGCACCACATCAGGTTTGCTTCACCCTAACTTCACTTTGTTAACTGCTGTGATGAAGATATTGGTTTTCAGTAAATATAGCGGCAGCCTTGAAAGCCAACCACCCCAAAAAGGGAGTAGGGCTGCTAGATACAGATGTATTTGGCCCATCGATACCTCTGATGATGAATTTGAACGAAACACCTATATTAAACAAAGATAATTTGATGGAGCCACTCACAAATTATGGAGTGAAATGGTGAGTGTTTTAAATGCAAACAGATTGATTATGTTATGACAAGTGTTTCTTGCAGTATGTCAATGGGGTTTTTAATCGAAAAAACTTCTGCCGTTATATGGAGAGGTTTAATGGTAATGCAAGCGTTAGAGAAATTATTGAGACAAGTTCACTGGAGTGAAATCGATTATCTTGTTGTGGATACTCCTCCCGGAACTGGTGATACGCTTTTGAGTCTTGTACAAAATTTACCGATTTCAGGTACTTGTGTTTTGAATTGGAATAGGAGTAGATTATGGTGTGGCTTCTGGTTTGAAAAAAAAATACAGGAAACCTTCAAAATGGCCTTTAATTCTAAACCAGACAGAAATTTTTCAAAGAAAAGATAAGAGTACTTTTTTCAAAAAAAAAATTTGAAAATTCAGTCTTTTTTATGTACTCACATGAGTTATCATAATTATAAAGCTACTCTATATATATTATTTTAAAAATGCAATGAATAACAATATGATGCCAGTTTTCTCCTGAAATGGCTTAATATTGACTTCTCAGTGTAAATATATTATAAGATACCTTCAGAATTTTTCCGAAAAAATCAGACATATAGATATTTTTCAAATTGTATGTTATATATATGATTGAAGCACATAATTATTTGTTTTGAGTGGAAAACATATCAAGCCCTTGAAACTGCAGTGTTTTCCCTAGAGTTGGGAGAAATAGACAAGACAGATAGCTCCCAAGTAGAAGAAAAAAAAAGTGCATATAGACATATAAGAGGATGTAAGTATATTTGTAGGATGCATATATCTATACAAACTTTTTATAATCAATTATTTCAAACCGTCTAATCATATATTTTAAAATGTTTCATATTTTTTGTGAAACAATTCACAACAATATAGTTGAAATTTGTTCAATAATTGTGAACAAAATTTCTTCGACAGAAAAACTCTTATCTGGACATTTGTATTCTTAAATATAAATGAATAAATAAAATTATTCTATATCAAATCCTGTTGAACATCAATGTATTTTTTGGAGTCAAATTAATGTTTTCTTGGTTGCAATCTTGGTACTGTCACAATCAAATGAATCATTCATTAATATCTTTTACACCTATGTTAGTTTAGTGATGATTTTTGCCTTTTTTCAGAACCACAACATTGAAAAATTTTAATGAAGACATGGTATTGATCAAAAAAATAATAACAGCAAGTCTTTGTTTCTGTCATAATAATCTTCAGTTGAAAACTTTATGTACATTTATTTCACCTACTCCAAATGTACTAGTTATGTAATTATGAGTAGATTTTTTTGAGGGAAATATTTCGTCGGAAACTCATAAAAAATTTTGTTGGTGTTAGGGAATTTTTTTAAATAGAGTTGGACAAAATATCAGCAACACAACATTTGACAACAAACAATAATTCTGCAATTTCAGGAAAATTGAAAGGAATATTTAAGCATTGTCATAACATTTTGGGAAATTTTATTTTTAAATTTTAGTCAGCTGTAGACATTTTCTACACGTTTTGTATAAATTTTGTGAAGATTTGAAATTTCACGCATTTCCAAAGAAAATGAAAACACATTTCTAATTAATATAAACAAGTTATTGTTATTCCAAAATTATCCAATAATTTCACAAAAAACTTGAATATTTGCCTGTTTGTGCTATCAGGTGTCCAATTGTTGACTTTTATGTTCTTAATGCTAATTTCAGGATATTATGAAGCTTCTTTCAAATCCGACACCACACCACATTCTACACCTTCACTTTTATATTTTCTCTCCATCACTGAAAGATGTAATAGTCATTTCTTATGTACATAGGAGTAGTACTTGTCACAACCCCTCAAACTGCAGCCTTGGAAGTCACCAGACGAGGGGCGTCAATGTTCAACAAACTAAAAGTGCCAATAATAGGTATCGTGGAAAACATGAACTATGTCAAGTGTTCGTCATGTTCTGAGAACATCAGCATTTTCGGAAAAGGTACTTCAACACTCGCCAATGAATTACATTGTGAAATTCTCGGTAGTTTTCCACTTGATCCCAGGATATCTTGCTGTACAGAAAAGGGAATGCCCATAGTTGTCCAAGATAGCACAAGTGATGTTAGTAAGGTTTATAAAAGTGTAGCTGACCATATGGTCAGATTTTTAGAGGAATAAAGGAATTGAATAAAGTTTTAGACCTTGCATTTATTTGAAAAGAAATGTTTTCCTGTAATTTTAACCCTTTTATTTACAAATTGAATTTTTTGAACCTAAAAAACTACTTACTTTTTTGATAATTTGCAAATATAATCTTAATCCACTGGGCTCTAGATATTCAGAATCATTTAATTAAAAATGAACTATTATAGCGTTGAATATTCTGTAAAAATAAAAGGATGCTAGAAATACTTATTGGAAAATTCGAAAAAAGCTGAAAATGTCTATTGGTAGTCCCTTCTGCAGTCAAAATTGTCCAAATATTTCACAAGGAATAAAGGGGTTCAATATTCCCCACTTAATCCTCAAGCTTAGTGATCTGGCCGTCTGTATATATGCATATTGTATTTGTAGCATCTGACTGTGTGTTCTGTTTCATTTGTATTTTGTAGGGTTTATTAAACACAAACCTGGGTTCAATTACATCACTGGCTGCCTACAGCAGAGATTGCGCAGTAAGCGCTTCTCGCCATAGGCTCAGCCTCAATTGACCCATTCCGACTTCGAGGTTCATACCAGCCATGCGCAATCGTAACATGGCCATTAAGTCAACCTCCTTAACGTACAGGTTCAGAGGGGTCAGACCAATAATTAATTCCATTGCCGCGGTTGGTGTTGTTCTCATGGCTCCTGTGATGTTTAAAGAAGCCAATCGCTGTATTTGATATCATTTTTGGATGGCCGTTGCTTTTAGAATTTTCGGTCCCCATGCTATGGCTCTTTACGTTAGCATAGGTCTTTTTATTGCAGTGTAGATCCAGGTGACCATACGGGGTGAAAGACCCCATGTGCGTCCCACTGTCCTGCAACATTGCTCATAAGCTACATATGCTCTTTTTGCTCTACTCTGTAGGTGAGAGTTCCATGTTAGCTTACTGTCGAGGGTAGTTCCTAGGTATTTTACCTCTTCAGAGAAGTTTAGTTTGCTTTTGAAGATTTCGAGAGGTTTTAAGCCTGATAAACTTCTTTTCCTGTTGTAAAGGACCATCTCAGTCTTCTTGGGATTGATCGACAGTGAGTGTTCCTTACACCATGTTTCTATTAATTTGAGCCCATTCTGCGCTCTATCGCACAGTGTGTTCACAAACTTGCCGGTCTGCAAGATAACTATGTCATCTGCATATGCAATTATGTAGAATCCATTATTGCTGAGGTGATTAATCAGGGTATCCATAACTATGTTCCAGAGAAGGGGTGATAAGACCCCTATTCCCACTATAGGATATTCCTGCTCTTCGTGAGGCAATCTCCAAAGATATGTATTAACAAAATTAAAGTATGGTATAACTGTAACAAGTTATCAATATCACTTTGTGAAATTTCCACTTAACAGCTTTACAAAAACTCAACAAGTATTTCGCTGTACAAAAGCTTCTTCGAGAGCAGTTATACTCTGTGTCTCGAGTAAACAAGCCTGAAGCAAAACGTGTTCCGTATTTGTAAAACTTTAGTAAAAAATCTCATAAGTGTTTCTTGAATGAGTATCGACCGATTCAATCACAAAACCATGTACTTATTCACTGTAACTTACCTGATATTTAGCTAGGAAATATTTGATATGAAAGGGTACATAATTAGAAATTTCTGACACTGAAAATCTTTGTTGAACTCAAATTTGAAGATCATACAATAAACTTTAGCAAGAAGCTGGCCTTGAATTGGTCACTGTTAGTCATCTCTACAGAAGTAGGCTATTCCCATTCAAGAATAGCCCATTTTGCACTTATAGATCTTCACATAAGATGTGGAATATTTAAAAAAAATAAAGATAGTTTTTCACCACATATTGGACAAGTAAATAAATGAAAGACCAACAATTATATTACATATTACTCATAATATGCATACCGATACATTTAAAAATAAGAACTCAAATGTAATAAAAATAGTTTTATACACAAACAAGTTGAAAGACAACAATAATAAGCAAGTTCCAGTAAGGTTTTCCACATTTAGAAAACTCCTCGAGATCAAAATAATTTATTGACTTGAGGCTTCTGAATTTAAAGTGTGGCACAATCGGTGATGGAGTCATCTGCATAGAGTGTTATTGAATATCCTGATAATTACCCAGGGCAACATTGTACAGTCAAACTAACGTGAGCGCTAACATGCTCCCATGTGGAACTTCAAGATGCTTTCAGCAATTTCAAATTGGTATGATTCTAGTTTTCCATCCTTGTTAGTTTTTACTTCTATATAGTGTTTTAGCTGATAGGATGAAATTCAAACCACTCATTAGTTTTTCCATGAATTCCACAAGACCAAAGTTTCTCAATTAGACGTTCATCACAAGCAAATGCTGTTACGGTCACATATAACTTCCATTGAACATCTTTTTTAGGTCGTCTAGAAGTTTATTTTAGAATTTTATGGTAGCTGTGCTTGTATATTTCCTTCCAGATGGACTGTTGTTTCTGTTCATGTACTTTCGTCTTGTTTCTATACACTCATTTTACTTATAACTTTATGTAACTCAATGTTACATAAAGTATTTTTACTTTGAAAGAATTTACCAATAAGATGTTCAAACCTTTGTTTAATGAAGCTTATTTTTGATTCGATTAATTCACTGGGGATTAATAAAAAAATCTTGAGCTAAACATATTGGTTTTACACGGTAACCTTTCGAAGTGTTACAAGCCTGTCCTTTCTACATTGGTATTTCCATTAGTTTATTTTTTCTAAAAAGTTCATGAAAACTGAGTTCATCCACAAAAAAATCATTCAATATTATACCTTAGATTGGTCCTACAAGTCTGTTCGGTTTTATAGTTTTCCTGTCTTGATAAATTATTATATTCGATCATCAACCAAGATCGTCAATAATATAATATAGATTTTTGATGGGACCTGCTCTTGGGATCATGTCTTCACAATGAAGTAAATGCTTAGTAGTAAAAATATTCAATTTATTAAGACCTAATAATAACAACCCACTCATATAAAATAAAAATTCAACTTACAACGAAAGAAATACATGGAAGAAATCTCATTACCAAGATTGAGCTTGAATATATATAAAAAATAAAAGTAACATCTTTCAAGTATTCACTTTCACCTTATATGCGATTGCATAGTCTAAGATAATGTCAAAAAACAGCTTCTTCTGGGATTGATATACGGGGAGGTTTCAGAAAGTAGCAAATGGTTTTTCTTACGCATTCAATAAATCCAAAACAAACACTTTTTCCAATCACCAGAAATGCAATAACATACTCGAGAAAACTTCAAGTAATTTGGTTGGTGAAACACGTGTCGAGAACAGTACTGCATTTCTGCTTGTTTTGGATTTATTCTACACCACGTTTTACATTCAATAAATATTTGATAGATTATAAAAAAATGAAATGACTAGAAAAGTTATGAATTAATTCATTAGTAACTTTCACAGAAACGATTCTGAAAATTTGCAAAGCAGTTTAATACAAAATTTCTCAAATGATCAATTTTTACAAATTTCTAGGAAAACCTGAAAAATTTATGGTACTTGAAAAATGTTCTGGATAAATTCCAATATTTTATATAGCACAAAATTGAACATTTTCTAGGGAAATTCAGACGGTTGAAATATAAAAAGGGCAAAGACATTGAAGAGTTTGATGTAAACCAGAAATATTAATCTCGCTGTAATGTTTACAGGAACATTCCTCAAAATAGTCTCGAATTTGAATGTTTATTGATTTCTTAGAAATGTATTCAAAACATGAACAATAATCAAATATAAAAAAAAAATGTAAAAAATCAGAAATCTGAAAAATTATTTAAGGGATGTAAAAGAAAAAATACAAATATTTTGTGGAACTTCAATCATAGTAAAAAACATTTGAAGTCTTCAAGAGTATTCCCATTGGTCTTTGGGATAATAAACAAAATACTAATGAAAATATGCAAATCATAAAACTTCCATAAAAAATAATTTGAAGAATTACACACCACTTGGTGTTAATTTTCCTTAGGATTTGGAAAGAAGTATAAATATATAAGATTTTCAGTATCAGTTGTCAATTTTAAATACATTTTCAAGTCATGAGAATTCCAATGATCCTAATGGAATTGCTGATAAATTGCAGGAAAACTAAAAGAATATACTGAATGAATGGTTATTAACCTACAATTGATAAATGAGATTTGATAAGAAATTATACAAAAAGTTAATTTTCTAAAAAAATTTACCAATTGGATTATAATTTGAATAATAAACTTTTTGAAGCTCCATCATTAGCTAAGTTGATGATTTTTTTAATAGCTGTAGAAAAATGAAGTTCTCAACTCAAACTTCATTGACTGCAAAATTACTAGTAATAAATAAAATAAAACTTCCTGAAACTCCCTGCATGAATCCTAAAAAACATCTCAATCTCCACTGGGGATATACAAAGTGAAATTTTTTTTGATAACCTTACATAAAAATATATATACACACATTTTTAAATAAATGGTTTGGAAATAATTCCTCGACAGCCTGGAAAACGGCACATAAAGTTGATTCCCCGTCAATTTCAGCATGATTTCGCTTCTAGTGTAAAGTATAGAGAATCAAAAAGGTACAGGAAAAACGGCATGAGTTTTGCGTCACATAATCCCACGAATTGTTCGCTTCAGTCAGTAGATCAGTGGAGACTACCACTTTTTCTTGTGCTCGTCCATGGAAACGCCTCCGGGACCTAAGTAGACGATCATTAGGAGGCCTCCGATAACGGACAGCGTCTGGAAAAAATAAAATAGTGTAAGAGTTAGACTTTAGGGATGGGTTCGGTTTGAATTTTTTACCTGGAAAAAGTCGTACTTGAGGAAGTCACGTAACGGTTTGTAGTCGGGTATATTCCACCAGGCGTTATGGTAAAAGTTCAGAGTTGAGAGCAGCAAGACTAGAATCAAAGCCGACAATTTTGTTTTGTATCCTACTGTCACTAGCACCATGAGAGCTGATCCCAAAAGATCCAACAGAATCTGAAATAGAAATTTTATAAATGTGTCGAACTTGATAGTTGATGTATATAACTTGCTTATATATAAAAGATCAAAGAGAACAAAAAAGCATTCAGACAAAATAAAATCAACTGCTATTCTAAAACAATACGAAACACTAAAGAAACATGGTGAATAATAAAAATGGAACTGAAGAAGCAATCTAACTCTGATACATTACTCTCATATAAAATTCCAACATATTCAATAATCCACACATATGTACTTCACATAATATTTAGTTATGTTCAACTGTACACACAAATTAATAGACAAGGGGGAAAGTCATTTTGGAACTCTCGGTAAGTATAGTAGCTTCTCTATCAACAAATATTTCACTATGGTGTGGAATATTATGTTGCCACTAATCCGTTAGATTTATTACGTCAATTTGTTGGTACATAGAATAGCCTTATACTGTGGAGAAGCTTAAAAGGGAGTCAATCTATGCAAAGTGATTCACAAAAGATCACCACTTTCTGTATTGTAATTATGATTTAAAACATTCAACAAGAATAAAGGGAACTGGTTGGATGGAAGAGCATTATCTGCCTTGATTCATCAAGGACAGATGTTGAATTCTGCCATTTGTTAGGTTAGGTTAGTATCTCTTGTACTGAGTAACCTTTCAATAAAAGCATTTTTTACCGTAGTAGGCGCTAGTCAGGCCCTATTCCCCGTAGCCTTGATACATTCGGAAGGGCGCGCCAGTATTATCAATCAACGACCACTCCCTACACCGTGGGGTAAGTGATCATTGGGTCCAAGAATCATGTGCCTTGAGCAAGCGCAGTGAGCCAAGAATGACAGCCTTCTGCATCTAGCTAAGATTTCCGCCTTAGTGCGGCAAGCCAGTATGATTTTGAGATTCGAGAGTAGAGAGGGCATCATTCCACCAAGGACTCCAATAATCAGAACAACCATCTTGACAGAGTGGTCTGGATAGAGTCTGCGGAGTTCGAAGAGAAAATCTCGATATTTTATCAGTTTTTCCTCCTCTTTTCGGACGATATTCGTCTCGCCAGGAGCTAAAAACTCCACGGCAAATATTGTCTTGCTCTGGTGGTCGAGAAGGACTACATCAGGCTTATTAGCTTGTATGAGCCTGAGGGTGGGGAACGAATAGTTCCATAAATTCGGCACTTCTCGTTCCCCACAACGGATTCAATATCCTCCGGAGCGTAGGGCAACACCGGTGTCTCGTCAATACCGTAAGGGTGCCGTAGATTATTATTGTTATTATATTTAGTGATGAAAATGGAAGCGAGAGTTAGTATTTACTTTTGAAAAATTAATATCTGTAGGATAGAATTGAATAATATTTATTAAATTCTTCATGATAAAAACGTATTACCAGGTGTACGTCAATAAAATTACAAAACACATTTAAAAAAATGCATTCAATGTATAGGTTGAAAGATTTTAAAAATACACACTCTGGACTAAATTGGTAAGATAAAAGTCAGTAGTAGTAGAATAGGAAAATTAAGTTTACAAATATTTTGAAATGGTCCCAGCAGCCTCATTGTTATGACCCCAATCTAGCCTAGAGTTAATTATGATGCCCAAAAATTGAAACTTTTTTACAATTACTGTGGAAACCTTTCGATGCCAGTCATTTTTTCAGATTCAAGCAATTCTCCAGTCCTACCCCCACACTGATACCTGTTAATCATAGGGCAAATGATAGATGAAATAGAAGCTTATGGGTGGATTCACATCTTAGTGTGAATCTCTAAATTATGAACAATTCCAAATCAGTGTCAATAAAATTTTACAAGAATAACAATAGTACAGAAGTAGTGTACTTTAATGCAATAGATATGTCACAAGAATTCAAATTCTCGGGCACAATATTATATGGATCATTCGGATCATTTATTGCATAAAAACTATCTAAATCTAAAACTATCTAAATATGATGCAATGACTGTCTCACATATTTCAACCAGTATTTATAAAAAGGAAACTGTTAAATGTTTCAATAAGTACATTTACAAATGTGTTTTTGTAAAAAAAAACTTTCAACTTTCTTGACCAATGGATCTTCTCATGACTATGCACAGTTAGGAATACCCACCCACAAGACAAATTAAAACAATCACCTCTACACAATGTGATCACATTCTGGAATAAACTGCCAAACTTGATTTGTAGTTTGTATAAGTTGTATGTTATGGCATTAGCGTTATTTGCAAATCAGCATATTTGATAAGGATTAAATGGTGACCAGGCTTTATATTTAATTGTTGGCACCACCGAGTTTATATCAATTTTTTCAACTTCCTTTTCTATTGGATGACATCATATGGAATTTTTGACCATACTCAATAATAATTAAGTGGCAGCAGGGTTCAATACTTTAAATAGAAGCTCTAATCTCTTATCAATGGAATGGTTGAAACATGCCAAATATCTTAATCATTTTGTTTTAAGATACTAGCAATTTCGACAGAAATCATGATTGCCAACAATATAAACAAAATAAAACCCAGCCACCACTTATTGAATATATTCAATGGGGAATGTTCCTCAATTTGGGTTATTACAGCAAATGCAAGTTTGAACAAAATAAAGTTGAGTTTAATTCATGAGTTTTTCAAATTTACTTCGAAAAGTATTCAAATTGATGTTTCAAATGTTGGGTTTTAATTTTTAAAGGGATTTGTTTTTAATTCACATATTGGCAAAAGCGCCTATATCAAGTTGAAATAATTTATACGTACCTAGATATTCTACTTTAAAAAAGGAAAATTATTTTTATGAATCAACAATTAAGGCAAAATATAAATTATAGTTGAATACCACCTCCACAAGCCACATAAACAACAGTTGTTTTGTTATTTATTTATATAGAGGAAGATAGGTTAGGTGCACAAAATGTCATGTCACAGAATGTCTCGGAACTCGAAACATAAGTAAACAGAACAGCACGCCTCTGAAATATGTCATCTTTGTTTGTCTCATACAGGTAACAGATTCATTGTCCTTTATTAGCTATAACCGATGTTTCTAAATGGTGAAATAGAAACGAATTCCTTTAAATGTTGAATGCATTATTTCATTCCTCTTTTTTAAGTGTTTAAATATTTTTTTAAAGAAAAAGGTTGAAATGATAAGTTTAAAATGCGTTGTTTTAGAGTTCTTTTATGAAAACTACTTGATTTTCGTCAGGAGGAACATTCCCCATTGTCAATTTATGTGTATTTTCATTTAACTCACCATATATTATATTATTAATAAAATAACTTACCTGTAGAAAACTAAACTCGAACCGGATCAATGTGATGAACATGAAGGCCAGCAATATGCGACCTGTCAGCTGCAGGTAGTTCTTTGGTTTATTGTCTCCTAAAGATGGTACTCCTGCAAAAAGGCTCTTAGCCTCGCCTCTACTTTCAGCCAATACCAGAAGGAGGGCCCCAATCAGAGCTAAGTTCCTGAATAGGAATTGAAGATCCCACAAAATAGAGTAGGCCAGGGTCTAAAAACAGGAGAAGTTTCAATTCATAACTTTTGAATGACTAGCTTCGAAAAAGTGCCGTGAAACACGTCACTGTCTAAGAACACCCGGAATGACTTGGGTTTGTACTTACCTGTAAAACAACAATGAAAAATAGCACTCCGCAAGCAATATTCACTTGGTAGCGTACTATTACCATCGCACAGCCTCCAAGCTGTCCGATCAAGTTTATTAAGACAAACATAGTTGCTAAGAACTTGCCACACCCCCAAGACATGTCCATGTACTCCCTCTGTTCTGTCCACTGGAACCACATGCGTAAACCATCTTCGAAGAAAGTGGAAATTAGACATAGCCTGGCAAGGGTTGGTAGTATGTGTTTCAACTTTCTAATTACCTAAAAATGATTAGATTTGAAAACTAGATAGAGATTCAAATAATGTATGCTGAAAGAAAAACTAATTCATTTTAATATGGTAAGAATGAAATAGAAATTGAACTAGCAGAAATTCTATCATAAGTTACAGTAATAGTACATCATTACTTTATAATCAAGGTACCATAAAAAATGTTAATTATGATGAAATTTTGAAAGGTCAAAGCTCAACACTGGTAAATTTCACAATAATCATTCAACCATATGTTTCATATGCCCAATTTGCAAATTATAATCTATAATGGAAAGTGCATATTTTGGGTCATTTTAAAGTAGTCCAACCAAATTAAGAGATCACAGCTGTAATGGCAGTACGAAACAAACGATAAAATTTTATCTACTAGAATATTATGATTGAAATTTCATTTATTTTGCAACTGTTCCCATCGATAAGGTGACGTGACATTTTGGGTTTTGAAATATATTTTCAAAATGCCACCTTCTTCTGAATAAAACTTAGGACAGGAATTTTTCGGACCGTTTGATGTATTTGTCTGAAACTCACCCCATCTGCTATATCCTCTGCCGTTGAGACATATTCGTTAGGTATATTCATTTTTCCAAAAATTGGACCAAAACAGAGACAACCCCAAAAGCTCCACGCAGTCAACTACCTCAACTTCAGTCAAAGTCAAAAGTTTTTAGATGGTCACGGAACATAAAACATTAAACATTAACAAAGACTCTCTAGTAATGTATTCTGTGTATGTAAAAACTATCATTCAATTACGAGAGATTTTAAATTACCATTTTCAAATTTTTCTTCAGGATAGAATTCTTGAATGGTCTCTGAATCTTCATTCAACAAGGGTATATTTTCATTAGACATTTATATTATTTTTTGTTTTGCAATATTCTCTGTGTCCAAGACATAAATAAGTCGGTGTACTCTTTGATAAAGAGGGCCAGCATCACAAAGTTGGTTAAATGAAGGAAAAGTTGTCCACTTCGGAGCTCATTGAAATGTAATTTCAAAATTCACAAAATTTCGATGAGTTCCGAAGATACTGAAGAGCAGAAAATATTTTCGCATGACCACTTTTCAATGTGTACAAGAGAAACCATCATCAATTTTAATTTTTTTATGATGTATTACTATAATCGTTCAATGAGTAGATTTAAAAAATGTTATTCAGATAACGGACATTTTTCCAATTTACCGTTGTATCTCTCACAGTTTTTCGTTAGATTGTTAGTACCAAACTAACATGGTTACATCTCATAGATGTCCTTGGAGCCAAAATTACAATTCTTGTTATTACAAGTAACACACTTTTGGAATCACTGAAAATCACAGCATGTCGGAGTTTTTGGTCCAAAATAAGTTTTGATGCTTCCTAAATAGCCCATACATCCGCAGCGCAAATAGAAAAATACCGAGGAAGCCAAACCCTTATCACCTCGTGTCGTCTGACTTAAGGTCTAAAACTTAATGAATAAACAAATAAATAAATCATCAAACCGAATCACAGACACACCGATGAACACTGATTAGGGCAAAAGGACCTGATGAGAAGAACATTAATTATATCTTATATCAACAGAAACGTGATAAAAAAATACTTCATTCCAATGTAGAAACAATGAACAAACATTAGTCAGAAGTTGTGGAAGTGAATATTGTAGAAGTTCATTTTACAAACATTTTTTAATGAAGCAATCACAACATAGATGGTATGTTAATGATAAAATACTACAAAATATGTAAAGGCAATTTTTGATGTGTCATGTATTCCCCATAAATCAATCAATAATATCGAGAATAATGATCTTGCAATCTGAAAATTTTATATGCATCTTGTGCTCGTAGATAAAAGCTTGAACCTGTTAAATGGTTCAATGTTTTTATTTACAATTACATTGGCCGCATACTCCTGGAACTCTGTCAGATATAAAAAGAAGAATAATTTCTTTCCTACTGTATGTATATTGAAATCTTCAGAAATACATTCATTTGAGTAGTTTTTAAGGTAACTTGTTATGCGTTGAATAGTTACTCCAAAATTTGAAGGTAAACAGCTAATAAATTTATACTTATCGGATTTCACCTATGCGTTAATATGAAAAGTTATTTGCATTTTTAACCCTGCCCTAATTTCAGAATGATTGAAATCACTTGCAACGACCGATTAGGAAAGAAAGTTAGGGTGAAGTGTAATCCTGACGATACCGTCGGAGATCTGAAGAAACTCATCGCTGCTCAGACAGGAACCAGATGGGACAAAATCGTTTTAAAGAAATGGTATACAACATTCAAAGACCATATACAGTTGCAGGATTGTATCCTTTTCATTAATAGAAATCGTTAATCAAAAATTTCTTATAATGTTGTCCGTATTTACTACTGAAGAACCGATAAGGCAAGTGTCTTACGGCGAAACATCGGATGTCGAGCAGTGAGGATGAAAGTGTTCCGTGTAAGTGAAATTTTACTTTTTTTCATTAATTATATTGTGTAGGAATCCTGTGAATAATATCTGATTCGATTCCAT